TATAAATATATAAATATATATATAAAAATACAGAAACAAAAACACTGCAAAGACAAACAAACTTTATTAAAAAAAAAAAAGATATGACAGAAGGGCCAAAGAGAAACGTTTGGTGAGTCACAAAGAAAAATATAACATGCAGTGTCTTTGCAAATATATCTTTATCTGCATATTTTGCTTGTCCTCTGGGCTGACTGTGACCTGAATTTGTCAAACTATTTGAGTTATTAAATCCAGATTGCAGCTTCATCGTACTTTGATCAACCATAACAGTAAAATATCCTAATGTATGCTGAACAAGGTAAAAAAAAAATCTAGCAAAGTTAAGTCAGGTCCTCTGGACAGATTCAAATAATTAAAATAAAAAATATATTGATTAAATGTTTGGTCTTTAATCCAGAAGACTTCTTCAGTATGAGGAGCTGCAATAAGCTCAGTCTTGTAAGTAGCACCTTCTCATAGTGGATCATAACCAACCATATCATTAAAACCACCAACTTATTATTAGGTTTCATTTGTGCTACCTTAATAGCTCTGTCCCATACAGACATGGACTCTAGATGTTTATGCTGCTTGTCATTAATCTGTCAGTGGCAAAATCTTTAATGTCTTAAAATTTGGGAAGTGAGGCATGAGTGGATTAGATTTTTATCTGCCAAAGATCCTACAAATGCTAAAATGGACTGATACCTGGACAACTTCAAGTCTGACTTGACACTTTGTACCTCTAAACATTCGTGAACCATCATCATTATTATTATTATTATTAATAATATTATTATTATTAGTTTGTTTGTTTCTTAAGGACAAAGCTTGTTAATCTACTAACAGAAATGGTCAAAGAAAAAACATTTTAGATATGCAGTATAATTAATGTGCATTATAATTAAGGTAGATTTTTGTGGGTTTCTGGGTTTTGTCCTGTCTTTTCTGTATCCTCTTGTTTCTAGCACTCCCGAGTTCCTCCTCCTTGTCTTCAGCTCCTGTTTCATCTGTCTACAATCATAATCACTCCAGGTTTTAATCATTCTGTCTTGTTAGTATCCGTATAAAGTCAGTGTCTCTGTGTTCTTCCTTTGTCTGTCCATTGTCCTTTTATGGTGTCATGTTCTGTCTCCCTCTGTGTCTCCTCATCAAGAAATGTATTTTGCTGCCATATCAGCTTGTGCTTTTTGTCGTTTAAATAAATTATCTACTTTTTATGAGTCTCTAGTGCCTGCCTGCGTTTGGGTTCAACCTCACCAGCAGAATCACGATAATTTTAGAGCAAAGTAGCATCAACTTGATTAACAGAACCCAAGGTTTCATAATAATATTGTCCAAAGCAACACATTACCCCAGCTGCCTCGTCTTTTTCTCGTAGTGCTTCCCAGTTCCATGCTTGAGCCAAGTAGGTGATGTGAACCACATGTTGTAAAACAAAACACGATTCACCCAAACAAATCACAATTACTGCATTATTAAACTCTAATATTCACATAACCATTTCATTGACCTTTAAAGAGTCAGCTCACGTGTTTCAGCTTCACGGGTCTATGTGAAAAACAATAACTCTGCACTGTTTATTACTGGTTTCACTTGTTCAATACAATGATTTAAGTTACAATAGAGAACTGAACCAGACAACACAGACAACATTTACCTTTCATGTGGAAAAATATTTTACTAAATTAGTTTTTCACTGGACAGTGTTTGGTAGGCTCTGACCATTTCAAACAGAAAACGTTTGTGAATGAGAATTGCAGAGATGCCATGACAGCTTCAAGCCGGCATAACTTTGCCTTATGCTTGCCCATTCTTTCTGCTTCCAGTGAAACACCTTTAAGGACTAGAGGTTCATTTGTTGCTTAACACATCCCACACACTGCCACAGACTATTACTATGTAATGACTGGTTGGTGTACATGCACATTTTTTGTGGATTAATCTTTAAAATACTCCTTGCTATTTTTATAGTTAATTGTATCTTGCGTGCCTCCTGTTGTGGTTTATTCCTATAGCCCATCTGTTGTACTTCAAGCAGATCATAACTGGTTAAGCTGCTGCATCATTAAGAGATCTGTTTGGCAAAGATCTACTGAGCAACTGGAAGATTATGCACAGTCAGGAAAATTACTACACTCTGTCAGGATTGGAGAAAACAACCCCAGAAAATGCTGCAATGCCTCCACCAACTCACCTCGAGGCAAAACAGACAAAATATTTTTCCTGTAAATATGCTAAACGGCTGCCCATTGACAACTGGGCAAACTGCTGACACTGACATGTGAGCACACAAAACAACAGCACAGATGTAGAGTTCTGCCTGGAGGTGGTCCTTGCAGTGCTGCTGTGTTTCATCATATGAGCCTTGTCCCATTAGCTTACTGTCAGGCTGATGAGTAGCGTTTTCACAGAATTACCTGCTTCTTTCTGTGTGTGCACAGCTTCCCACCAGGGCTTGAATCCCAGTAAATGCATGAGGGAATTACTGTATAAGTACTTTAGTAGAGCTGTTTTGCGTGCTCCAATTAAGCAAGATTATCTCCTCTTTTTTCCACCAGGTTGTTTCCAGCTATGTAACGTTTTTCGTCAGAACATGGAGATAGACCAATGTCTGCTGGAGTCTCTCCCCATTGGCCAGCGCCAGCGGCTGGTCAGACGAATGCGCTGTGACCAAATAAAAGCGTACTACGAAAGGGAAAAAAACCTTCAGCGCCAGCAAAGTGGGATCAAAATTCGAGCCCCATCCACCCACGGCAGGAAACGCCGAGTCCGTTTCAGGCTCGCTGAAGTTTTGCAAGATGCCATCATTCGCCATGATGACAAAGAAGGTGGGTGTGTGTACTTGGCATGTGCATAAGTGCACATTTTTGTTTTGGAGTTTGGCAGTGGATGTGTGAACAAATAAAGAGTGACAACTGGCATTGGACTGGCAGTACACAGATGCAGCAGAATTGGGCCAAAACGGTGCTGCTCATAGTTTGTTCAGCTGGAAGCTGCCCACTCAGCTGAGGAAGCAGGGAGAAGCTGTCATCCTCGTTTAAACTGTCCTCTGGGATAAAAATACCTGAAGAGAAATGAAAGAAAGTCACTTTTTTATAGACTGTTCATCTGAAATGAGACCCTCAAAAAAAATAAAAAACAAACAAACACAAAAACAGACTATTAAATTAAACATTTATTATCAACAATAGTAGATGCAGAGCATGATTTCTTGCTTAGTCTCTATTGGCCCAGGGGAAAAAAAGTGTTTTGACCTAATGTGTTTTGTTCCAAACAACTGATAAGTTTCCAGTGGGTGTGTGTGACTGAAACATTGACTGACGATTTTGTCATTAATAAATACTGGTAGATAGGGGTCAGAGATGATGACGGTTAAATTACATGTGAATAAAAAATAAAAAAATTGGAAATGGCATTATTGTTTTAACCTCTAATTGATTGCGTTATTGTTTTTTTGTTTGGAAAAATAGCTTATACCAGTGAAAGTTTGAACAAAACAAAATTTGCTTTTGGGAAGATTTTTTTTGTTGTTGTTACATGGGACACTACAAATAAAAGCCATTGCAAGCTCCAGCTGATACATGGAGCTTTTTTAATAAGATCATTGAGTTATGCCCTTTTTCCAGGTATGCTGCGTGGTATGAAAATTTAACATTAAGTGGGATTCTAATTCTATTTGTGTTTCTTTTGACATTGTCAGTCATTCAGCAGACTGTCAGGATGTATCTGTGCTACTTTTAGTTTTCAGTCTTCAGGACTGGGGTTCCTAAAAGCAGGTGGTGTGTCATTGCAACAACCAGTTGGACCAAAGGTTTTTTTATTTATTTATTTTTTAGATGGGAATTAATCATTTACCTCCCACAGCCAGTAGACCAAGCTCCATCCAAAATGTATTTACTGTATATAAGTGATTTTAGATGTAACTCTTCATGCTCAAGACCAAAGTGTCTGTGCCACACATGTGTCTGTAAATATATACACACCTGCTAGGGGCCTAGCATTAAAACTATAGCAGATTGAACATCTTTGCCATTTTGTTTAAACAAGGACTGTAATCACAACATTACTGCGTAAACAAGTAACTTGTTTCACAGGCAACACAGGAAAATCTTGAATATTTCCAGAAAATTTTCAGATGTAAACAGGGTCTGAGTATCACAGTTTTCTTACCAGAGCTGTTTGACTTATCTTTCTTGCTTATTTGTAAATAATTATTGTGACTGTCTCAGCCCAAAGTCCAAATAAGAACTTCTCATTTTGGCTCCTTCATCTAACTCATAGGAAAACCAAAATTTAGAATAAGAAGAAATGTTTTAGTAGATGATTTTGCAGACATTTAACCAGAACGTGCTTGGGGGGAGAGAACTGCTAGGGTGGTGATGATGGCACCGGTGGCATTTAGCTTGGCCTAGCTTAGATTAGCTTAGCTTAGCATAGCTTTGAGTAAGTCACCATTCTCCTGCACATGTTTTGTGCCGTGGAAATTTACTCCTTTGTATAATATGACTTCCCAAAATTATCGATGATTTATGATGTTAAGTTTTTTGCATTATATAAATAAAGATGGTAGTTAACATTATGTAGAGCCAGCAGATTTTTTCTAATCATTGTCAAATTAAATAATGATGTTGGTTTAACCGAGACCTGATTTTACAGAGTTGGTTTGATGTAGCTGCTGAAAAGACATCTGAGTAGTACATCAGTTGTATACACACTACATGAAGTCACAGGAACATTGAGTTTCTTATCATTTGTCTTGCACAAGAGCGAAGGTAGAGGAGAATGAGATAAAGAAAAGCAAAGCAGGGAAAACTAGGGAGGATGGGCAAAGTGAGAAAATGAAAATCTGCCAAGTCCAAAACAATGACGAGCATTAGGCAGGAGGTATCAGCTTAGAGGGATAATTAGAGTTATGACCAAAAATTCTAGTAACATACATCGCTGTCACTGGATTGGGTAAAACAGCAACCCATCTCCATTCTATATGTTGAATGCAAACATCTGGCTCCAATCTGTTTTGACATTTGAACAAATTGCTTTTCCAGAGCCAATCCCTCAAATGCATCAAAGTGTGACAGGAGTGAAATGGCAGCAGACTTTTGCCCTTGCAGCAATGTAGCCTAAACTCAATGTGTGATGGCTCTGAGTTTTTTAACAGAATATTTATATGAATTGGTTTTCTGTGTTTGTGGCTCAGCTTCTGACATCCAGCAACACAGCATCATTACTGCAGTCTACATTGAGTGTTAGTTAAAAAACAAAACAAAGTATGTATCAGCTAAGTTACTTAGGAGTATGTAGCTCAGTGCCATGATCTCGTAATCTTGAAGTGTGAGTTTGAATTTGGGTTGCATCAGAACGGGCATCCGATATAAAATAATTGCCAAATATTTTATGTCAGTTCACTTTCTGTGGCAAACCCTGGAGGAAGGAGCAGCCGGAAGGTAGGATGAGAGTTAAGGTTAGTTTATTATGCAAAGTATGCAAAATGGCAGGTGACATGCATTCCTTCAATAAACAGTCATTTATTTTATATACATTTGTAGCTGTAACAGTGACAGGCCAGACAAAGAGTGATTCAGGACACTTTTATGGGCAAAACAAAACAAGGAACTCAGTGTCCCTTGCCCGGACGTGGGTTACTGGGGCCCCACCCTGGAGCCAGGCCTGGGGGAGGGGCTCGTCGGTGAGCACCTGGTGACCGGGTCTCTACCATGGGGCCCGGTCGGGCTCAGCTCAAAGGAGCAGCATGGGCTTGCCTTCCTGTGGACCCACCATCTGCAGAAAAGGCCATACAAATCAGGTGCATGATGCTATGGGCAGTGGCCGAAGGCGGGGACCTTGGCGCTCTGAACCTGGCTTATCAAAGCTGGCTCTTGGGACATGGAATGTAACCTCTCTGGCAGGGAAGGAGCCTGAGCTTGTGCGCGAGGTTGAGAGGTACTGACTAGATATAGTTGGGCTCACCTCGACGCACAGCATGGGCTCTGGAACCGAGCTCCTTGAGAAAGGCTGGACCTTATTTCACTCTGGAGTTGCCCATGGTGAAAGGCGTCAAGCTGGTGTGGGTCTACTTGTAGCCCCCCGACTTGGTGCCTGTGTGTTGGAGTTTTCCCCGGTAGATGAGAGGGTAGTTTCTCTTCACCTTCGGGTAGCGGGACGGGCTCTGACTGTTGTTTGTGCCTATGTGCCGAACTGCAGTTCAGTGTATCTAGCCTTTTTGGAGTCCTTGGCAGGGGTGCTGGAAGGTGCGCCAGCTGGGGACTCCTTTATTCTGCTGGGGGACTTCAATGCCCATGTGGGTAATGACAGTGTGACCTGGAGGGGTGTGATTGGGAGGAACGGCCTCTCTGATCTGAACCCGAGTGGTGTTCTGTTGTTGGACTTCTGTGCTAGTCATAGTTTGTCTATCACGAACACCATGTTCGAACATAACGGTGTCCATGAGTGTACTTGGCACCAGGACGCCCTAGGTCGTAGATCGATGATTGACTTCGTAGTCATGTCATCTGATTTGCGGCCATTTGTTTTGGACACTCGGGTAAAGAGAGGAGCTGAGCTGTCAACTGATCACCATCTGGTAGTGAGTTGGATCAGACGGCAGGGGAAGATGCCAGACAGACCCGGTAGACCCAAACATGTAGTGAGGGTTTGCTGGGAATGCCTGGCAGAAGAACCAGTAAGAGGGATCTTTAACTCACACCTTTGGGAGAGCTTTAACTGCATCCCAGCTGAGGTGGGAGACATTGAGTCCGAGTGGGCCATGTTCTGCGCCTCACTTGTTGAAGTAGCTGCCTTGAGCTGTGGCCGCAAGGTCATCTGTGATTCTCGCGGTGGCCATCCACAAACTCAATGGTGGACACCCCACATTAGGGAGGCTGTCAAGCTGAAGAAAGAGTCCTATTGGGCATTGTTGGCCAGTGGGACTCCGGAGGCAGTTGAGGAGTACTGGAGGGACAAACCGTGTGCAGCCTTGGCTGTTGCTGAGGCAAAAGCTCGGATGTGGGAGGAGTTCAGTGAGACCTTGGATAGAGACTCTTGGTCGGCTCCGAGGAGATTCTGGCAAACCATCAGGTGGCTGAGGAGGGGAAAGCAGCACTTTATTAACACTGTGTTCAGTGAAGGTGGGGTGCTGTTGACCTCAACCAGAGATGTCGTCAAGAGGTGGAAGGAATACTTCTCTGACCTTTTCAATCCCACCAGCATGTCTTCCATGGAGGAAGCTGAGTTGGGGGACTTTGGGGTTGATCCGTCCATAATCGTGGCTGAGGTCGCTGAGGTAGTTAAAAAGCTAGGAGATGGTAGGACTTTGGGAGTGGATGAGATTCACCTTGATTTCCTTAAGGCTCTGGATATTGTGGGGCTGTCTTGGCTGACATGCCTTTGTAACGTCATATGGACATCAGGGGCAGTGCCACTGGATTGGCAGACTGGGGTGGTGGTTCCCCTCTTCAAAAAGGAGGACTGGAGGGTGTGCTTCAATTATAGGGGTATCACTCTCCTTAGCCTCCCTGGTAAGGTCTATTCAGGGGTACTGGAGAAGCGAGTCCGATTGTTGGAAGAAACCTCAAATCCAGGAGGAACAATGTGAGTTACGTCCTGGTCGTGGAACACTGGATCAGCTCTTTACCCTCACTAGGGTCCTTGAGGGGTCATGGGAGTTTGCCCATCCAGTCTACATGTGTTTTGTGGACTTGGAGAAGGCATTTGACTGTGTTCCTTGGGGTACACTGTGGGGGGGCTCTGTCAGTAAGGGATTGGAGGCCTGTTGTTACAGGCTGTTCGGCAGTGGTGGAGAAAGTACTTAAACACTGTACTTAAGTAAAAG